GTGTGTGTTTATGAGTTCATTGAAACAAAAAGCATCAAATCATCAGTTGATGAGGATTCTTAATGCATTTGCAAGAACAAACTCTTTGATGAGTTTAATATATGACCAGAGTATGGAGAAACAGAAGCAAATGTATCAAAGCACATATTTCAAATATTACATGAAAGCTGTAGGCCTACAAGAAAGGACCGTCTTAAAACAGATAAATTAGATGTGTACACTACATACCGAAAAGCAAAGATTTTTAAGTATATACTGTACAGTGCCCTCTAAAAGTTTTGGAAATGTATCAGCATATTCTTATTACACAATCATGCCTCTTTTGCAGCTATGATGCTTGATTACAGTATTCAATTTTTTTTTTCAATGACATTTTAGTGGGTCTCTTCTGTAAATCAGGGAAAAATGTATGATATTTATTTTTTGCTCAGAAAAACAAAAACGACATTGCAATTACATTAAACAGAATTTTTTTTTTTTTTGGGGGGGGGGTCATTATTGAGGAAACATGCCTCTACTGTCTGATTGCCAATTAAATTTGGACACAACAGTCCCATCAGAACACAGTTTGGAGATGCTCTAAGCATAGCTCTAGCATTTTTCTATGTTTGCACAGTATGTGTTGTACCTAGTCAACTCAAAGTCATCACAAAATTATGAAAAATATATGCTGACATTCTTCAAAACCCCACTTCTCCTGGGATGTTTCCAAACTTTGAAGGGCACTGTACATTGTGAGGTAAAAAATTAAGAACATCATTAGGTTGCCTTGAGAAGCTTCCCTTCTATGTACTATTTCTTATCAATTTAAACTCATTCAAACTCATCTATCTAATATTTCTAATCTATCTATCTATCATCTGACTATTTATATCTATCTATCTATCCTAGCGACATGCTAATCATGCTAGAAACATACTAACAACATGCTAATCATGCTAGCAGCATGCTAGAAACATGCTAGCGACATGCTAGTAACTTGCTAATCATGCTAAGTAGCATGATAATCATGCTAGCAACATGCTAGTTACTTGCTAATCATGCAAGCAACATGCTAGTAACATGCTAATCATGATAGCGACATGCTAGTAACTTGCTAATCATGTTAACAACATGTTAGTCATTTGCTAATCATTCTAGCAACATGCTAGTAGCATGCTAATTATGCTGGTAACATGCTAGTAACGTTAATCAGGCTAGAAACATGGTAGTGACATGCTAGTAACTTGTTAATCATGCTAGCGGCATGATAGTCACTTGCTAGTCATGCTAGCAACATGCTAGTTACTTGCTAATCATGCTAGCAACATGCTAGTTACTTGTTAATCATGCTAGCAACATGCTAGTTACTTGCTAATCATGCTAGCAACATGCTAGTTACTTGTTAATCATGCTAGCAACATGCTAGTTACTTGCTAATCATGCTAGCAACATGCTAGTTACTTGTTAATCATGCTAGCAACATGCTAGTTACTTGCTAATCATGCTAGCAACATGCTAGTTACTTGTTAATCATGCTAGCAACATGGTAGTAGCGTGCTAATCATGTTACCAACATGCTAATCATGCTAGCAACATGCTAGTTACTTGTTAATCATGCTAGCAACATGCTAGTTACTTGCTAATCATGCTAGCAACATGCTAATCATGCCAGCAATATGCTAGTAACAGGCCAATCATGTTAAAACATGCTAATCATGCTAGAAACATGTTATTAACATCTATCTAATCAATCTAAATGTTCAAACTTCAGGCTTTTACAACTGCTTTAAACTTTCAGGCTAGGCTTTCTCAAGCCAACCTAAAGTTTGTCTTGACGAACTTTTTTATCTAGTTTTGAACTTGATCTACAATAGAATAGGTAGTCCTGAATGTAGTGAGTCATGTTGAAATCCACACAATGAGTGCACCCACTGAAAGAAACAAACAAACAGAAAAAAATAAGCCACTTACATAGTTTCTCATCTGCATAAATAGTGCACTTCAGCACGCTTAATCCATAACCATGATTTATGACTCAGCCTAAATTTAGGAAAATTTCACTACAGGTGTTTATGATTACTATAAGCACAGCATAGAATGCCATTTTATAATCTTTTCAGCGAGTGAACAATGGCTAATGGCTTGAGGCTATTGTCAGATGTGGCGCTAAATGTGTAACAGGAAGTGGATGGGAGGGAGAAGAGAAAACAGTTACTAACGCAGCACTAACTGAGTTCCATCAGGGTGCAAAGGCACAATACTCTGCACAGAATGGCCAAGGCAAATCTCTATTCTTCACTGAAGTGCTCTTGCGTGATGTGTGCGTAGCTCACGATCCCTATATATACAATATTCGTGAGAATGCATTAACATGGGAAAGGATAGATGAGAAAGTGAGACGAGGTTCAAGGGAAAGGCAGGACAGGGAAAATTTAAAAAAAGAAAATGATCATGCCCCCCTAGGCCTCTATTGACAAAAACGTCAGTGTTTGACCTGATGGAGGGAAAAGAAGTAAGGGACTGACTGACAGGGTGAGGCAGGGTAAGATACAGATGGTGAGAGAGAGGGAGAAAAGAGAGCAGAGCAGAAAATGATAGACAAGAGGAGAATAAGAAAATGAGAAAGGCAAGGGGAGGAAAAACAAAAAATATTCACAAGGATACATATAGAGAAAATACTCTGCCACACACATACACAGTTAAAGGATGTTAGGCAAATTCAAGATATGTTACTGTTTCAGTTCATGCATAAACAGGGAATTTGTTTTAACAGCAACCCATGCTGTAGAATGCTATTTTCATGTAAAACAAAACACAATCAAATGTATGTGTGTGTTTGCCTTACAGCATATCCTAAAGCTAATAGGAATCCCCAGAACTCCTTTCCGGTCAAACCTGACATCCCTCTCAACTTGTCTCTTGGTGTCTCCGTCTCCTCCCTTCTTCCCATAAAGGGAGAAAGCATTAGTCATTCATAGCTCAATCTGTGAATGGGTGGTGCGATTCATGGCTGCTCTTCATTTTTATCTGTATTTTTAGCTTACCATTGTAAACTGCCTTCTTCATTAGAGTAGTACAGTACATCCTATAACGTTTGTAAATCTGCACATGCTGTTAATGGCCACTGTATTATTAATTTGAAGTTTATTATTGGTCAGTCTAGTCTGCATGGTGCAGTTGTCTTGCACATTTGCTGATCATTAGTTCAGGAGTTTTTGAACCGTTCCTGGAGCCTCACCAGCAGGAATGGTTTAAAAACCCTTGATATAGTTCATTTCAGGATCATTATTGTTTAGTATTTTAGGAGATCCACAACAGACACCAAGAAATCTATCAGTCTAACAATCTCATTAGGATTATCCTGAGATAAACTGTAGCCAAAATTCAATTCACACTTTCTCCTAAAGGGGGAGACCTTTTAAGGGTAACTTGTCACTGTGCCATTTAAGGTAGTACTTATAAGCCTATGAGTCAAAAATCTACCACATATTTTGTGTGTGTGTGTTTTCATTAGCAGTAGTGTTCTTGTGGTTATGCTGGTTTTAAACACACACAAAAAGTTAGTTCATAAATTCTGTCCTCCAGATGCAGATTCAACAGGTTCTGTCCATGGTTCTGAATGTGACACATGGCATGTAGTTGTTGCTGTCCATGGTGCTGATTTTAAAAACAGACAGGCATATATACATACTGTAAGTGTGTGTTTGAGTAGATTGTTTAGAGATTTTACAGAATTTTTATTTTCTCTCGAACGTCCTACACTGGGAAAAAAAATCAAGTTCGCCAATTTAAGACAGTATGAATGTGCAGTGGAAACATGTGGGACATTAATCATCAAATGAACACTGCAACATCATTCTTCTAAATAACTTTTTCAGCTAAGACAAACAAAACACAGCGATTCCCAGAGTCACTTACAGTCAATAGTTTAAAATGCATGTATGGAGCCCGGTGTGGACTGTTGTCAGCAAAAATGGACTCAATCAATTCCACTCCACCACTGCAGTTGTGTGTGTGCTGAGAAAATCCTTCCTTATTGAATAAAAACTATCTTTGCCAAACTCAAATGTCAAAAGCTTAAAATAGATCCCAATTTTGTTGCCATTTAAGTTGATGCAAAGTCTTAGATGTCTTCTGTTACTTCTGCACAACATTTAAGCCTAACAGGATAAAAAAAAAACTTGAATACTTACTGCACTGTCTACTCTCTCTCCCCCCTACAGTCTGTGTTGTTGATTGTGTGATGGTGTGCATGTGTACTCAAGCCTTGAGTATTTATCGAGCTATTTGTTGGTTTTGTTATTGCTTTTGATAGCGTTTGATACGTGTTGTTTTTTACTGTATTTGAACGTGTGTACCCGTTTTAAGGGTTCTCTACCCACGTCATTGACACAGACAAAACTGAACCCAGATTATAAATCACTACTGTCCATTAAAACATACATTCACCATAAACCAGTTTTACACACTTTTAACATACATGTGTTTGCCTCATTCTCTCTAACCGTGGCTGTGATTTGGGAAACCCACTAAAGTGCCTCTGTGGCTTATCCACACACACACACACACACACACACACACAGACACAGACACAGACACACACACACACATATATATATATATATATATATATATATATATATATATGTCGTCATTCCCAACACAACATCAATGGCACAACCAAAAAATTAATTCATTAATTAAATATTAAAATTCCCCTCCCTCCTTTCCCACTATACCAACACCAAATCCACAGTCCAGCTGCAATTCGCATGACTGGCTCCCTTTTCTTCGGCTACCGCATAAACGCGAAACAAAATAGCCACTTTCTGCCGCGATCATGATCTACGGGCGCGCTTATGCGGAGTGGCAGGAACAAGCTGCGCTGAACTCATTGTGCTATTCGCTGCTCTCTCTGTAGGCTACCCCCTACACACACATAGATGAGTAGCTATTGTGTCTCATCCTAAAACTACATTCAGTATATTTTACGAAGTGAAAGCGAGTGGGGGACGCACCTGATTTTTGCCCCGCTGTCCGTCTTCGAGTTCCGGTGAGCTGTTCATGATTCCCCATCGATCATTGAGCATTCTCCGGAGAAGAACAGACCTTAAACCGCCTGTCAGTTACAGGCGGTGTGTGGGGCAGGGGGGGAGGGGGCGACAAGACACTTTGTCGTTCAGTCGTTTTCCTGATAAGTTATTCCATGGACATAGACAAATAACCTTTGGGGGAAAGGAAGAAAAGGAGGATGTGGAGAGTGCGTGAGATCGAGAAGACACTGATCTAGCCTCTACTCCGGGACCACACTGACTAATTCTGGTCTAAAAGGGGCGGTGAAGACTCTCGCACCACACACATCGTAATATCATACGTACTTGATAAGGAAAATAATAATAAATAAATAAAACTCCTCAAATTTCCATGAGCAGTTCTTCCAAGTATTTTTCTTTCCTTCTGGAGCGTTGAATAAAGTACTCAGATATTCCACACTAAGTAACGGGGAAAAACGGCGCGAATCAAGTCGACGCACGCGTGTATATCCAAGCCAACGCAACTCAAAACACACAAAAAATATTCTGATGTTTCTGTCCAAAAACGAATAACGGGCATTCAGTCCCGAAGAGTCGTTTAAAAGTGATACAACTTTGTATTCCTGAGCCGTTAGCGGGATGGACAGATTGTGGCGGTAAAGATGCTGTGATTTGAGGAGGTAATTCAATCCGTTTCCCAGGGTGTCTAGTTTACCGGACAGAGGGCAAGGGATGTCTCGTTTTGACAAGACTAGCGCGGCAGGGCATATTAACGGGGTTCCTACTCGCGAGCCAAGCTCTTCGCTCTCCTCCAGAAGCTGTCCGTTATGCGCGCTCAGTTTCGCTCCCAGACACCGTCGGCACTGATACGACTTTTCCACACCCCTCGTCTAGTTTAAGAAACTCCCACTCCGCTCTCAGTAGCTCAACATGCAGTAAAAGCACCCGTCACGAAAGACTGGATGAGCGATGGAAGCCAAATTGAATTCATACAATAACTGAAGTTGTTTTTAAATGAGCAGTTCATTTTATTATATAAGCCTCATCAAAATGATACTTGAAGCGCGCAGTTTGAGCCAACCGAAACCGTTATGATTTTGGCGCACAGATGTTTTTGTCATGTTATCCATTATAGATATTCTACTCTTGCCAGTTGCTGGTGATTACGTCTGACAGCACAGAGATTAATCAGGCGATCATCTCAGTGTCAGTCAGTTTAGCAACAATTACATTTTCCCCACAATGACTGAAAAGACACAGGTGCAATCCACGTGATAAAAGGGTCAATGCAATAATGAGATGATTAGGCCCAAGTGCCCCATATGGAAACATATTGAGGTCAGGACCGTCACTAGTGGGAAGAAAGGTAGTGATGATTCTATGCATCCCCAGTGTGCCACTGGCCCTCTCAGATTTACGGCTGGCCCACCCAATCAAATGAGGAAAGAAGAAAAATCCTGCATACATTACAATAATTGCTCAAATGCATGAACATATGAACAACTTGCATGTGTAAACGTAAAAAAAAATAAAAATAAGTAAGTAGTAATAAGATCCTAGTGGATGAGCACTGATCTTCCAGTTTTGTGCTTCTATTCTGTGGCAAACACAAAGCTGTCAATATAAGCAATCACTCCAATTCAAGTGTGCTACCACTGTAACAGTTCTTGATTTGTCTTTACTCATCGTCCCACCCATCACACCTGAGATACAATTTCTATAGGTTGAACTTCCCGACGATTTCAGATGACATCGGAAAACGCAGCATCATCATCATTATAGTGACACAATAAGATTCTGGATGTTCAAAGCAAAATATAATGTCACTCTAAAGGCTGAAATACACTATACAACTTTTGCCCTGATTTTCCCCTGATTTACAGCCTGGAGAAGTTGACGCTAGTTGCCGAAAATCAGAGGCAGTCTGCAGATTTGAGTTGACACTTACTAACTTTGTAATAAGTTAGTAATAAGAGGAAAACTGGCCCTCATACACTAAACGACTGAGGATCACACACTTCCAGACTTTAAAGTCGTTCCAATCACAATAAACTAAAATATTTTATGACATGACACCTTGTACTTAAGTAAAAAAGATGGGGTTTATGCATAGGTAATGGTTTACAATAACATTAGGCTACTTTTAGTAGATACTGTAATGCAATTTTTAGCTGTTGAAATTTGCATACCTATTTTTATCTAATGTAGGCTATCGTAAAAAGATTTTTGAAATAGGCACTGAGGTCCACTCTATGTCACCATGGTCCACTCAGTTTAAAATTTCTGGCCTCATTTTCACTTTTGCAAACAAAGGCACAGGTATTATGTATCATTAAAAACTATACTGAAGAGTTTTCAGTACAGTTTAACTTTTACTCTAATCTCATATGGATGCACACATATCAGTACAGAGAGAGTGTGCAAACTTTGATGTAACAGGACTGAAGAGGTGCAGCATCTAAACCCTCTACAGGGCCTCAGGAAACTGCCGCCCCATGCTGAGATTACTTGGTAGATAGAGGAGAGCTTTTGGATGCAGGAGTAGGTGGGTGTGTGTGTGTGTGTGTGTGTGTGTGTGTGTGTGTGTCTGTGTGTGTTAGTTGGAGCGTCCAGTAAGACCTGCATCTCAGCCAGAAGCCTTAGGCAAGCGATGCTGGAAAGACAGAAATCTAGTTCTTAGAAATGCTCTCTTTGTATTCATGTTGGTTTCATATTCTGAAACTTTTCTACCATATTCTAGAAATGTTTAAAATTAATCATTCTAAAAATGAAATGTGGTATAATTGACTGAATTCTTATTTTCAAAAAAGTTTTTAAATACATATTTTGTTTATAAATATGAATAATTAATTCATGAATATATAAATAGTATTTGATGTTTTCTAATGTACTAAACATTTCGGGGAATCTCACACATCTAACACAATCTTTCACAACATGAACTACCCATGCTTTTGTAACCCCTCTCTCCTGGGTCCTCACTGCCACACCTCGTTCTCGCTCCGAGTGGGTCTCCGGCATGGGAGGCGGACGCACTAACAAGGAGGCTAAAGACTGCAGCCTCTAGCGTCAGTCGCTAGTGCGTCTCTTGAGATCAGGGGAGTGAGGTTTACCTGCACAGCACTTACTCACTGGCCTCCGTTACACTTTGTCGATGTTTTCCAAATATTTGAAGCAGTGAAGCAGTTTTGTTTAAATTAATCCAAACTACATTCTTCTTTTCTACTTTTTAATTTTTAATGAGGCAATTAAAAGGCTTATGCTACCCCAAAAAACTATATAAAATTAATTTTAATTCAGAAAGTAAAACCATACCATTAAAGAAGAGCTGTAAAGATCTGTGACTTTCAAAGGAAAATGAGCATCATGTCATTGACCCATAAATGTCTGTAGAAACTTAAAAATAAAAAGAAGTCAGTGACATAGTACTTGACTCACTGTGATAATTGAAGGGTGTTTCTCAAAGAGGTGAAAGTAACCCTGGCATCCTGGCCAAATTTGCCCATCAGCTACTATCAGTCATGCCTACAAATCATTCCCATGTACACTGACTGGCTACAGTCTGATAGCTTGTGTGGCGTTCTGATGCCCATGATGTTCTCTGATGAAGGAGATTCTCCCACTCTCTCTGTAAAGTGTGAGGAAAAAAAACATATAACACATTACAATTATTATTCTCCTCACACAATTCATCCAATTCAGAAAGAGACAGTTAACTAAAGCTTCAAATGATAGTATGTGTTTTGTACTATTAGACACAAAATAAGTCATGCACACACACAAAGAGATAAATGTAAAGAAACTGAAAATTTAATTAAACCAGACTGTGCCACACTCGCCTTCAAACCGTGTGGTCCAAAAATCAATAAAAGGTCCAGGTGAACAAAGGAAGCAGTCCTATTAATATATAATGATAGTGTGGGGGAGAAACCGAAAGAGAGGGGGGAAAGGGCGAGGAAAGAGGAGGATGAGCTTTGTATATTGTAAGCCTTGATGACAACAATATATTGTGGAACTGAAGAGAGTGGAGCAGAGAAAGACGAGCAGTGATTTTCCCCCACTGTTTCCCAGGATTGGTTGGGAATGAAGCTATAACTGCTGCAGTAAAGAGAGAAGCAGCAAAGTGAAAAGTGAAGGAAGGAATCCTTTTATTGATTCGCTCTCACATTACATGCTCTGCCCTTCTCTGCAATTCAGCATCTCTCTCTCATCA